ATATATATATATATATATATATAGTGTTTTCTCAACATATATTTTACATATCTTCTAATCTCTTACTCTCTCATTACATTTCACCTTTTTTCTTTCTCCTTCTTTTTCTTCTATTAAAAAAACATTTCATAATAATGGTGTGGAGAGGATGGCTATAAGGGGAGAAGGGAGGCCGTCAATAAAAAAAGACACAGCCAGTAATATAACATTATGTTAACACCATGTGACAGTTTACAACCAATCACAGATCGACGAATGTACTGCCCAGCCAATCACAGAGCTCTCAGCTCAAAGAGTTTCTTATCAAACAAGAGAGGTCAATCCCTCGCTGGAGTCCTGTTGTCTGGGCCAAAACAGATTAACAGCCGAAAACTGGTTATAAGAAGATATGGTAACTGGACAGCGTCAAGGTAGAACAGATATACATAATTAATCCATAACAAACACTTCACCAGAGCATAGAGGTAGATAAAAGTTTTAGATATAAACACTGAACTAAACAAGCACGTCAGATAATTATTTAATCAGCTCTGATTAAACAACTTCAGATTTGACAAGCTAAAAGTAGCATCCACGCTAACTCTAAACAAACAAGCCAGCTGAATGAGACGTCACATCAGTGCCATGTAGAGTTCACATTGGAGTCTGATGGAGGCTGCATTTAAAATCTAATGTGAATGTTTACACCAGCGGAGCAGAGTTTGTTTGTTTGGTCTGAATCAGAGTTTGATTACTCCCSAAACGAACCAGACTTTATACCAGGGCTATTCAGCTAAATAACTCCAGGGGCCACAGTTGATGCAGACCAACGGCACAGAGGCCGAACATCCAGCAATTAAAGTTCTGTAAATAAACCAAGTATTACAAAATGCTGTTGCCTTTGAAATAGTTGATTTTGCTGCATTTAATCATGGATAACAAATGTAATTATAGTAAAACAATATCAAAAACCAAAATAACACATTCTACCTATTTAACACAAATAATATTTMGACATCTAAGACTTGCCAATTTTTTAAGCCAATTTTATTTTCACTTTCATAGTTTTATCTTCAACTGCCTGTAGTTTAACTGTCTTGAGTGTGTATATAAATGTTTTTTACCAGATTATAGCCAAGATTGTGATGTTTCTGTCGATAACAAACATGTCTACGTTTAACTAAAAGAACTCAGTAATTAAAGTAGAAAACCGGGGGTTTGGGTTTAAGAGATGAATGAACCAATTGGCGGGCCGCATCTTGGTCACTCGCGGGCCAACGTGGCCCACGGGCTGCCAGTTGAATAGCCCTGTTAAAGACCACCAAACTAGAGTTCCAATAAGCAGACTAAACAGGGCTGGTGTGGATGCACCTATAGTTATGATGACAATTATTGTCTWTACTGCAAACATATGAACCTATTAAATTAAACGTTCAGTTTAAGCAGAAATGAGGAAAAAGCTCCGCAGGATAAAATCCCTGAGGCTGAAGCTTCAGAATATTCAGAGGAATTTGAACCCTAAATGCTTTTCTGTGCAGCGAACATTCGAAACTCTAACCTGCTTCAGTAAATCCCAGGCCGGCAGACAAGAATCCTCTTTTCAGATCAGACGTGAGCCTCGGGCCTCTCCTGCCTGACCCTCCTCTGGGCCGTGCCTTTGGAGCCGGCTGCTGAAGGGCAATGAGAGCGCTGGAGCAGTGTCCTCCTAATTTTCATTTTCTCCATGTCTACAAGAGAGGAACAGGAAAGAACAAGAGGCTGGATGGTTATGGAGCAGTTCTGTGATGAAACGTGGTCAAGGTTAAATTTTTAAGAAAAAAGAATCAGTCTTTTTCTGTGATCACAGTTTGTATTTGTATTCACGCTGAGGAGCCTGGAAGTAATCAAGGAGGAATCAATACGAGCTTAATGTCCCTCGAAGAAACTCCAATGTCAACATGTTTGTCCATTTCAGACCCCCCCCCACCTTCAGGTGAAGAAAACCCTTCAAACCATCCATCAATCATTGAACAAAAGAGACTTAATTATGGTTTTCGGTGAAATTCAGGGCAGTTTGAACAGTTTAAACCAGCTAGATGCCTTGAGAGTTCACATTTTTGCATATTTTTTATAGTTTTTAAGGAATTTATTTTGCATCTCATCATATCTAATTATTTTTTGTTTGTCTTTGTGATCAGTTTTATCTTTTCACTAATTATTGTTATGGGTGCAGCCCTTTGGACACCGGCAGCTGTTCTTAAATGTGATCTATTAATAAGTTTGATCTGAGTTGATTGGATTTGACAGAAAGCCATCAGCCATGTTTGATCCATGAATTGTTTTTTCTCCTCAGTAGTTAATGAGCCTGACGTCTCGTCCCGATAGCCTCCTGTGGATTACACCACAGACATTACACACACTTTATCATTTCTCTCATTGATTTTATTTTTATTTATTTTTTTTCTTACAAGGCCAAATGTGGCACAGCCCGAAAACGGGCGAGAAATGACATAAATCTGCAGCAGAGCATGAAACAAGCTGGAGAAATCTGTGAAGGTCCTCTGATCAGAAAATTCTTAAATGAAACGTGTTAAATTTATAAAAAATAAATTACCCAAATACAAAAGGCAACAAACAGGTGGTGCATCAAATTTAACTTAAATCAAGGCCATCCAACTTAGTTTCTGGGGTGATCAAGCGAAATAGCTCAAATCTACTTAATACTGCAATCACAAATTTTGTATTGGATGTTTAGTGATATAACTTTTAATTATTCTTGGAGAGTGGGGTGGGGTATTTATGCATTTTTTTAATTGCAAATTTTTTTATTTTACATTATTTTTATTTTTCTGTTTTTTTTTCCTCTCTTTTTTCCATTTACTGTTGGATGTTTTGTTTTTACTGTTTAAAGGTACTACAGATGTAAATTAGCCTTAGGCTAAATCTGGTGCAATGCATCAAATTATGTTTTAATTGCACACTTTCCCGAACAAATAAATTCATTCAAAAATAAATAAAAAGTTGAAGCCTTTGGAATCATATGGATGAGACCATTCCAATGGGCATGACTCAGCTTTGGGTGGACTGGACTGACACAGTCCCGATCGGTCTGCCAGCTCCCTCTGAAAAGCTACTGTGGAACCCCAATTTTGATCGCTGCTTCTGTGAATGTAATAATTGTTTATCATGTGTGTCTTGTGTGAACAATAATCATTTTCACATCATGAACAGTTTCCCAGAATCACCTCTAAGTGTCGCCAATGGAACCAAAACCACAGAAACMTGCGTGCACCAGCCCTGGAGTTGGCATGGGGCTTTGCACATTTCCACGTTCATTTCAGCTTTGATACATCCAGAGTTTTGCGTGGAAAATGGCGTACACAAGGTTTTTGTGCGTACACACCATTGATACGAGGCCCCTAGAGAGGAGGGTCCGTCGGATAGTCAAATCTCAGATTCAGGAAGAGCAGTGTGGTTTTGGTCCTGGTGGTGGAACAGCGGACCWGCTCCACACACTCAGCAGGGTCCTGGAGGGTTCATGGGAGTTTAACCAGTTTACCAGTTTTGTGGACTTGGAGAAGGCATTCGACCGTGTCCCTTGGGGACTCCTGTGGGGTTGTACTCCAAGAGTATGGAGTACCAGGCCCATCGATACGGGCTGTTAGGTCCCTGTAGGACCAGTGCCAGAGCTTGGTCCGCATTGCCGGTAGTAAGTCGGACTCGTTTCCGGTGAGAGTTGGACTCCACCAAGGTTTACCTTTGTCACCGATTCTGTTCAAAACTTTTATGGACAMAATTTGTAGGAGCAGCCAAGGTGRTGAGGGGATCCTTTTTGGTGGCCTTAGGATCACATCTCTGCTTTTTGTGGATGATGTGGTCCTATTGGCTTCATCAGATCCTGATCTCCAGCTCTCACT